TTAATGTATAGTTGCTCTTCTATCCATGATTCTTAGATTTATATTTTTAAAAATAAATTTTAATTTTAATTAAAATGATAATTAATAAAATTAAGCAATAAAACACTGATGTTTAGTTTCTCTTCTAATTAACTTTTCCATTATTATAAAAAGTTCCAAAAAAAAATTTAAAACCAAATTCACCTCCTCTTGGGCAGTTTATCGTTGAGCTAACAATTGAGATTTTTTTTTCTAGGTCCACACAAATGGACCAAACTAATATAATTGTCTTGGACAAGAGATTTTTTTTTCTTAATGTGACGAAACACTTTGTACAATTGACGAACAAGGTCTATTAAATGAAATATATGACTCCCTATATTGCTTTTTATAATTTTTCTCATTTTTTTTTTTACTTTAAGCTATTATTTTTCTATTTAAAAATTCAGTTTTATATCTCAAAAAATTTAAGAAATATGAATAAAAAAAGAAAAAGGCAATAATAATAATTGTTTTTCATCATCTTATTATGTCATTAAAACATATGCTGATAGAAATGAAAAATATCTTATCAGAATATTAATAGCATAAATAATAAATTTAAAATTAAGCATGTCTTTTATGTGTATCTTCAAATAGTAAATGTGGGATTTAGTTTTAGTATGGCCGGTAATATGGGTCACGATACGACAACACGACTCGAAAATGACACGAATTTTGATGGTTAGGGTTGCGAAAAAAGAGGTTTGGGTCAGACTTGGGTCGACCTGAAATTGACACGAAAACACGTGTCAATTTTGGGTTGGACTCGTCTAACCCGACTACGACACGAAACTCGTAAAAAACTAAAAAATATATATTTTTCATTATATATTTTAGATTTTATTATGAACTTGTGATATCATGATAGTTATACTCAAAATCTTATACTATTATTTGCTTAATTTTTATGGATGTTATTATATTTTAGTGTGTTATGAATTTTAAGTTATTTCTAATATGTAAAAAAATTAAAGAAAAGCTTTTCGTGTCAATTTCGGGTTCACGGGTTAATTTCGTGTCACGAGTCATTTTCGTGTCGTGTCGTGTTAACCCGTAAGTGGTCGTGTCGTATTCATATTGTGGGTTTTAAAAAATTTCATGTCACGGATCGTGTTTGAGTTGACTGTAAATTTAATAAGAAAGGATTAAAATACGATACGAATATAATACGTGACACAAATTACCACTTCTAAGTTTCAGTTGATGGAATTCCAAATTGTTACTGGATGATCCTGTAGCAATTAGCGTAAATTTTCTCCTCAGGTGATTGTTTCTTTAGCCTATAAAATATCACCCTCAGTTGTAGAGAAAATGAATAAAGTTCAGTATTCAGAGAATGTTTGGAAGAATATTCTCACTTTAGTTTTCAGAGAATGTTCGGAAGAAGGGATTTTTTTTTTCTACGTCAACATACATATAAATCAAATTTTTTTAAATTTATATAAAATTATATAAAAATTAAAAAATACATAAATTTAATAATTAAAAAAATTTGATCTAAGATACATCAGCTGTATCAAAGAATATCCCTTAAAAGAATAATATATATTTTTTTCTCTCTCTTTTCAATTTTTGAAAAATGATTCTAAGAATCATTATTTAAGAGTTTCTCCTGTAAGACTAGAAAAATAAAATTACTTATAGTTTTATTTTTTTAGCCGTTTCAACCGTAAAATTTATATCAAAAATTATTTATTATGTATACTTTTTTAATTTCATTTGATTTTGACCGGCACTAACTGTCAGAATCTTACTAGTAGAACGACCTATCGAAAAAGTTCTTTTTTTTTTTTTGCTAAGAGTCTCTTTCTTCTATTTTTTTATACTTTAAAGCTATTATTTTTCTATATAAAAATTTAATTTTATATCTCAAAAAATGTAAGGAAAATGAAAAAAAAAGGAAGACTAATCATTTTTTTTTTCATTATCTTATTATTTGTTTATATGTTGATAGAATATGAAAATATCCTACGAGAGATTCCCAAAAGAAAAAGAAAAAAAAAAAAAAAAAAAAGACACCACTTTGCCAAAGAGAAAAAGAACGCTCTGAACAATTACAAAACCCTACTTTGTCATTCTTCTTCGTGTAAAACTCTGATTGGAGATGACGAAGTGGCAGAGAATTGCTCCTAAAGCTGGTCGTTTTTTCTTCAACAGAAATGGTGGTGGAATTTTCAATGGCATTGGATATATGTTTTCTCCTTTGTCCACTCTTTCTCCCTTCAAGACTTTCATAGCTCAAAATCATTCTCAACCCTCTCCAAACAACAAAAGCAATGGGACAAGCGTTGACATAACAACTCTTAAGTATGCTTTGAATTTGTTTGATGAAATGCTCCAGATGCGTCCCCTGCCTTCTGTCGTCCGTTTCAATCAATTGTTGGGCAAAATTGCCAAAACGAAACACTATTATGTTGTTATTTCAAAATTCAAGGAAATGGGTCTCCTAGGAATCATGCCTGATGATTACACTCTCAACAATGTAATCAATTGCTTCTGTCATCTAAATCAGATGGGCTTCAGTTTATCTGTTCTGGGGAAATTCATCAAATCTGGTTACGAACCAGACGCTGTGACCCTGAATACTCTCATGAAAGGGTTTTTGCTCCAAGGAAAGCTTGACGAGGCGGACGAATGCTTCCGCAAAATGACTAGTGGTGGTTGTAAGCCTAATGTCATTACTTACACCACGTTGCTAAACGGTTTTTGTAAATCGGGCAATACTACTGCAGCTGTTCAGTTGCTGTGGAGCATGGAAAAAGAAGAAAACTGTAAGCCTGACATAGTTACCTACAATACGGTTATCAACGGCCTTTGCAAGCAGAGACTAATTGCTGATGCTTTGAATCTCTTCGCAGAAATGACTAGTAAAGGTGTCGTTCCGGACGATGTTACTTACACTACGTTGATTCACGGAGCATGCATGTTAAGCCAGCGGGAAGAGGCCATGAGGTTATTTAATGAGATGATGAGTCGAAATATCAACCCGAACGTACACACTTTCAATATCTTGGTTGATATGCTAAGCAAAAAGAGAATGATTGCAGATGCAAAACATGTGATGATGATTATGGAAAAAAAAAGGGCTTCGAACCTGATGTGGTAACCTATAATTCGCTTATGGATAGTCATTGCTCGCGGGGTGAAATGGATGAGGCAAGGAAAATATTTGATACGATGCTCGACAGGGGTTGTGAAAATGATCTGTGCAGTTATAACATTATGATCAATGGTTATTCCAAAATAAGGAGGATAGACGAGGCCCTTAGACTGTTTGAAGAAATGTCATCCAAGGGATTTATTGCAGATGTTGTAACTTACAACTCTCTTATTGGCGGCTTTTGTAAAGTAGGGATGACCCAGGCTGCTCAGGAGCTACTGTGCAAGATGCAAGATTGTGGTCCGACTCCAGATATACAAACTTATGGTATTTTACTCGACGGCCTATGCAGAAATGGGCAATATGCAGAAATGGGCAACTTGAAGAGGCAGTGTCATTATTTCAAGATATGGAAGAGAAGAAGTTACCGATCAATATCGTGACCTACACTATCCTTATTGGAGGAATGTGTAAAGCTGGCAATTTGGTGGCTGCAAAGGATCTCTTTTCCCAATTACCATCCAAAGGCCTTCAACCTAATGTCATAACATATGGTGTAATGATCAGCGGACTTATTCGTGGAGGCCTTATGGATGAAGCCACAAGCTTACGCAAGCAAATGGAAGAAAATGGATACCCCTCAAACAGTGGCACTTATAATTTAATGATCCGAGGATCTGTCCGTAATCACGATCTATCAAGAGCGGTGCAGCTTGCTAATGAAATGGGGGAAAGGGGTTTCTCTGCAGATGTTTCAACCGTAGATATGTTTCTCGATTTAATTTCTAGTGGGAAATTAGATTCTTCTTTGCTTTGAATTTAGGTCCTTGGATATCTCATATTTTATTGATTGTTCTGTCCTAGCTTTAGTTACAAAGAAGTTGTTAGTGTGGGGGCAGAAACTAACATGTAATTTGTACGTGCAATTTTTTCCTAAACTTCTTTTAATAGCCTGTATGAAACACTTTTTAGCTACTGTAAACTCAAAACGGTTCTATTGTTAAAGAACTCCTCGAATCCCATATGAAATATAAATTTGTTCTTATTTTTTATATGCTCATGTCTGTCATTCCCTTTGCATAAAGAAATGATTCATGAATGTTTGAAATTTCTTGGTGAAATTTACCATTCAAGTATTCAAGAACTCGAAACTAGTGAAAGGGGGTGAGCAATTTGAGTTATTCAAAATTTTTATTATGATCACAAAAATACCTACAACATTCTAGAGGAGAAAAAAATTTATACTTGCTGATTTAACTAAAATTATATTTTTTTTTCCTGCAAGTCTTCTTGTTCGAAGAAGAAGAACAAGAAAATCCATTACACTTTCGCCTTACAATTCTAGCCCTTCGTATATCCTTAGAAAGGGGACCACTCCAAGGGTAGTCATCCTTAATGGATTTTTGCCTCATTCGTCTGCACTAACAATTTCTTTATCACGTAAAAACCTAATACACAGATCATACACCATTCCAACCTATTTCTTTTCCAATCTCAGCAATGACCTTGGCTGTCTTCACCACTCTTCCTAGGGGAGAGACTCAATGATGCGAGGCAAACTCGCCACCGCAACGTCGCCAATACGCATTTTTTCTTACAATCAAGGAGTCAGAGCATTTTATAGTGCCACCTAGCTATTTGCATGGAGATCCTTTCCAGACGGCCAATTTGTGACGGCAATCCTATCTTGACCATTATGTTCGAGATACGTTAGGGGGCATCGCGATCCCCCAACACCAGAATTAGACACGAGGCACGCCCCGCCCCATGTATCTTGCGCTGCTGGAAGGCTAATGGCAAAATATCGATAAAATACGATAATAGAATGATCGATAAATTTAGTTCTTTCTAATTCCTTCTTTCACATGCATCATTCTGAAGAAACTAAAATACGGGAAATAAACATCACGGTCATTTAATATTTACACACAAAGCATCACCACAGAAATACAAAGAGTCGGAGCCGCAAAACTGGCTAGTTAAAATGTAACTAAACTAAAATTTCAACACTGTTTACAAGTTTCCTGAGTGTAGCCTGGAGTCGGAGACTCTTTTTGAGGGATATACCCAGGTGTCAAGTAATCCTTTGAGGGGTGGAGTTGGCATTTGAGCCTATTTTACCTTCTTTACTTTCTTCTGGAGGAAAATCTATTATCTAAACACTAACTACAGTAAATGTGAATATTTCTTCATATCTTTACAAACCGAATGTCGTTTTGACCAAATGCAGTTCCACATGCAGGACACTTACGATGGCGGATCTCGAGATTCTTTTGGATACAATGATTGCAGAATAGATGATAGCACTTAACAATTACAACCTGACAATTGAATAAGAAACATCTATCATGTATGATTGCTTCAAAGCATTGACAAAGTGCAACTTAACCGTATCAGAACACCACAAGAGAATCTAAGCAGTAATAGGATGCAAACGATGTGAAAAATATTGCATGAGCAAAGATTCTCACCTCCTTTGGCCTATCGCGACAAACGAGACACTGTAAGATAGACTTGCAAAACTTAATTTCCTCTTGAAGTTTCTGAACTGCAGCCTCCCCAGTTTCAGAACTCATCTCAGCAACAGTTGTTTTTAGTTCCTCGAGCTCTTCCTCGAGGATTTTCCTAGAGCTTCTGCACGAAAATAATCCATTTAGTAAGCAGAATCCGTCAGTTGAGAAATCCTAACATCGACATAATTAGATGCATGCAAGGAAATCTTCCTATACTTATAAAATATGCTCCAAGTATTGAAGCATAGAAACTACAACAATGTGGTTCTTAATATTTGTATGCCATGACGCATATCTCTCCATTGATTCTGCCTTGCACAGCCAATTATAAAATAGAACTTCCTGGCCATACATTAAGCAAGTCGTATAAAAAATCAACTTAGAATAGCTTCATTTAGTGTACACGAAAAGAAAATGGGTAGGAACGCATCTTATTTCTTAAATATAAAGTTTTCATCATCTTCCTAAATCGTGCATCAAAAAATCTGATAATGGCATTATGCATATAATAATAAGATAAGAGGTTGCATAATTAACTGTTGAAACCAAAATGAAACTAGCTCCAAAATATCGAAAGATCACCTTTCATTGTCCAACTCAATTTGAATATCGTCAATATCCTGCTGAACCTGCTGAATTTGTTCGTATTCCTTTTCAGAAGAAGAGAGAGCAGATCTGAACCACTTCACCCCCTTCTCCGCATCAGCTAATTCCCACTTTGCAGTTTCTAGGTTGACTGCAAGGTGTCTCTCTTCTTCTGTACATTTGATTGCTTCAGTCAGAAGAGCCTTCATCTGCAAGGAAAACTGGCTAATTAAGATGGGGAAAAAAAAAAAAATAGCAACACAGTTAGTAGAGGATCGTGAAGCTACACCTGCTCTTCGCCATGAGAAATTCTCATTCTTAAAGAATCTAATAAAGTGTTAATTTGTTGAAGTTGCTTTGTCAATGCCTGCTTCTCAGAGTGTAAAGAGCTCTGTGCTTGTTTTGTCTTCACACTTTCGGAGACGAGCTGCATTATAAATATCGATCATGTGAAAACTGAAATCTAAGGGACATTTAGACCAAGCACGCAAATCCAAATGCATCACTCAAGAATGTGAAAGGACATAATACACGGGTAGTTGAAAAGTGTAACATTATTTTGACAGCCACCTTAATATTATAGTCATCCCTCTCTGTCACCTGCTGCAGCAGATGCTGGTTCTGTGTCTGCATATCCTCGTAAGCTTGACCAATGGTCTGAAGGATAGGATTAATAAAAAATAAATAAATAAATAAAAGGCAAAATCAGAGTCGGAAGTGGAAAAATACAATTTCAAGACCCAAGAAACCAGTTCAAACACGATTTTCGTAAGGTGTAAAGTCAGATGCAACCAAGCACCTCAATTTCGGATATATAAGCATCTGCTTCCAAATCTTTAATTTTAATGGCCTCGGTAAGCTCCAGAACATCCCTAGAGCACAACGTAAAAACAGGGGTATCATATATCTGAAAATATTTTCAAGCATATTAGTTAACTTTCTCCAACAAGAAGCACAAGTACTTCAGCCGAGCTAGCAAACAAGACAGAGAGCCTTCAGCCGAGAAGCCCGCAACCCCAAAAGAACAAGCAAAACTAACTTATTTAGACTATGCTAAGACTCTAACTCAAGCACAACAGAATGGATAGTGAATACAAGAATGAATCTATATTGATGTTGAATTGAAGAATTACAAAATAAATTGACAAATCCTAACAACAATAGTGGTATTCGAAAGACCACCAACTCTCCCAAGGGTGCTCAAATTTCCATATACCAGACCATACCCCCCACACCCATTGCTAATTCACCTTTTATACTTCTAATCCCCCTCTAACAAACTACTAACAACAACACACAAGTCAGCTACACTAACTACAAACCTCAACTAAACAGTCGCCTATCAGAATATTACCAGCATTTCCTATGCGCATTAAAACCTTGTCTAACACATGCTACTTGATTTTAGCATCAATATATTAACATGAGAAAAATGGAACATCATAAGCTATCATGATCTCCTCTCTTGTAAACATTGCAAGATCATTAGAGATGAAAATTCTCCTAGGATAAGCTAATACCTCCACCAGTGGAGAGAAAACATATAAATAAGAAACAAAGGAGGGAGCAGGGAAGGGGAACAGTCCCATGGGGTTTTCTCCAGGATAATGACATTAAACGTAGAGACAACAATATGATCATTTTCCTGCCACGAAAATTATTCTGTCTGAAAGCAAAGATCTTTATTATTATTATTATTATATATTATTATTATTATTATTATTATTATTATTTAACTGCAAATTGCACTTTTAAAACACAGAACATACCTCTCTGACAAATCAAGTTTGGCTCTTAAATCAGCTATCTCAGCTTCAGTAGCTGAAAGCCTTAATTGACACGCAGCTTCAGCTTCGTTGGCAGCTTTCACTCTCAACTCTAGACTATGTTCATCCAAAGCATTTTTCAGTACTTCAGCTTGAGAGTGACCTCTTTGTTCTGATTCTTTGATTTCCCTTAAGCCCCTGAAATTCAATTGGAAGTTTAGAGATACTGAAATAAAAACATTCATCATCAGTGGACAAAGAAAGCTACAGGCACATATTGACATACAAATAAACGTATACTAAAACTGAGGTGGTCAACGGTTCCTAACGAGTTCTGAATTTTTGCTTGATACTGAAGGACCCAAGTATAGACTAAAAAATACTCCCATAAGCACACAGCAGTTCTGACAATAGTCCACTCCCAATCAATTTACCTGTTGTCACTACTTTCCTGTCCATACATGTCCAAGAAAATTTGCAGTTCCAGTTTTTCCTTTTGCAACTTTTCAATCTGCAATGTACTCATTTTCATCAGTTTGCTGACTATAAATTCTGGTTTATGGTGCATAAAAAGCTTCAACTATATTTTTTTTTTTTTGGTACAGTTGGACAACAATTAAAGAATCTGGAATAAAAGGTACTTCAGAATTCAGAGAGATTTTAGGGGAGAGTGATATTTTGGAAAGGTTGAATATTGGAGCAAAATCCGGAAATATAGTACCACTAGCAAAATGATGAGGAGAAAGAAGAGGGGGAGCGCAGGGGAGCAGGGAGGAGCAGAGAATAAGTAGTTCATGAAGATAGAGGATCTTTGAATATCTGTATGAACATAATTCGATAACCATGTCTAAGGAGTTAAGGACAGTCTCTTTTCTTTAATTTTTCTTGATCGGGCAGCTTTATTTTCAGGGTGTTTGCTTTTTCTTGAGAATCTTAGAGAAGGGAAAGGGAGAAATACAAAATAAAACTACTCCCAAAAATAAGTACATTACATCTAATAAGTTAATAAGTTAAAGCACACATCTTACCAACGCCTTGAGAGACTTGATCTCCAACCCCTGTTCAGCACATTTGTCTACTAAGTTCTTCTGTTCATTTGTCTACCAATTTTTTTTTTTTTAAAGAAAGAAAAAAAAAAAAAAAAAAGCACAGAGACAGAGAGAAGAGGAAACTGGTAAGTTTTGAAAAATCTTAAAATTGATACTCATATAATCATAATGTAGATAGTATAGAATATAGAAGGACGATAATTGAGATGATAAGCATTTACTACCAAACAATATTTCAAAATCAAGCCAAAACTTCAAGAAATAAAATTCAGTTTACATCAACTTTTTCCTATTGCGTGCATCTTTGCATGAGCTAGAAAAGGGGAGGGGAGTTAAACAAGAGGAGAAAAAAAAAAAAAAAAAAAAAGAAAAAAAAGTAACGCTCATGGTAAATATACTAGACAATAACAGAAATTGATACACTACCTTCCTACTTAACAAAATTCTCAAAGATTGGGATTTTTCACGTAGGGAGGGAAAGCGTTTCATGAGCTGTGTCCTGCCATCGCTTCAATTGAGCTTCCATCATTTGCATTTCCTTGGACAAAGATGAGGCCATTACACGAAACTCTGCTTTAACGTCCTTCCTCCCTGCAGCAGAGAGCACCATTTACAGACCAGCATAAGTAAATGCATGACTCGCATGACAACAAAAATCAAAAGATATCAAATTTGACCTGAATCCTGGATAGCTTCTTCCATTTGAATCTCAAGGTCATTCTTTTCAGTAATAGATTTCTGCAGCTGGAGCTCAAGTTCAACGATTCTAGAATCAGCATTGTCAATGGAATTCCTTGCAGCCTCAGCCGACTCTACTTTGGCATTCAGTTCCTTCTCCCTTCTGACAACAATTGATCTGTCAACCTGAAATGATCATTTTAAAAGACAGAAATATAGGACCAGCGTACAAAAAAACCATATGGAATTGCAAACAACTCAGTTTAACCTGCAAAGCATCAACCAATGCTCTATATCGCTCCAGTTCAGAGTTCCAATGTTGGAGTTGATCATTCAGCATAATGTAAAGTCGAGATGAGCGCACATATTTGTCATCATTTAACTCATTCTACAATAACAAAATGCCACGGGTATGATTCTGGGTAAGAAATATGCATATGAAAATCCCAGAGAAACTGACTAATATCAATTGCTAAACATAACGAAGTTCAGAATCATAAACCTGAAGATCCTCCAATTGTTTAGACAATGATAGGTTTTCTTCTTGTGCCTCTTCAAGCTCGGAAAGACGGTTTGTGGCAAGCATCTGTGTAAACAAACCAAAACCATCCCAAAGTAAGTGACTAAGTATGAGGGCATACACAAAAGGGATCGGAACAAGCATGTACCTTTGTTTCTTCAATGGAATTCTTCAAATCTCGCATGCTTATTGTCCTCTCCGCAGACTTTTCAGGTGATAAGTTTCCATTTGCTGCTCCAGAAGAAGGGAAATGCATACCAGATGCCACGTCTTTTTGCATTTTCAAATTAATGAGTTTTCTCCGACACTCCTCGAGTTCAGCCATAGTATCATCCAGCTCACCTTTCAGCATTAAGGACATTTTCAACAGATAATTATAAGGTGGTAAAAAAAAAACGACAACAACAACAATTTAGGAAGTTTACTTCCATGCATGTATAAAGTTTGTGTTCGCACGGTCAATTATTTTTTACAAGAAGAGTTCCTTTTATTGATATTAGAACCCAAAGGAAAGAGGACAAGAGGTTCCCAGAAATGAAAATGAAAACAGAGAAATGGAACTGAAAAAAGAAAGAAACTAGAGAGATAAAACCAACAAGAAGCCCTCATAAACTCATAACTTAAAACGCCATTACATCCAATTGAAGACTATCAAGGAAAAAGAAAGTCAACAATTACTAAAGTGCGAAAAGTTCTCAAAGATAAGTATCTGAGATACCGGCAAGTCGTTTTATTTCAGATTGATCAGTGGAATGACTGCTATTATAAGTTGCAATCTGATCAGCATATTCTTTATGCTTTGCATGAAGAACATCAATCACAGCACGCAAATTGTTAGTCTCCTCTTTCATCATATCATCAATCTTAGATAGTTCAATGATGGCATCTGAGAATTTGAAATAAACAAAGAGAAACAGTTATGGATAGAAATGTGCTAAAATGTTTTCTACTCGATATTACATGATAAGTGAAAATGACAACCCAAGTACTAAAACGTAATATGAATATGTGGATTTACAATTGAACCTCACATCAGGATTCTTCTGACCTTCTAAAGATATATTTCCGTTCAAAGCGCGAGCTACACTCTCCGTTTTCACCCTCTGAGAATTAACACTATCTTCTATGAGTGGTAACAACACCCGAGTAGATGCGTGGCGCAAAAAAAGGGCCTCCTCAACATACTTTATGATGTCGGCACTACCATTAGCTTCAATGGAATCTTTTTGCAGGAGTCTACAAAGAAAAATGTCCTCAACGGGGCACGATGGAATTGAACCTAAAGAACACATTGGGTTGATCTATCTTATACAACATAGAGAGGTAAAGCTCGCAATCAACAAATGTATAAACAAAGAGTAAGATACCTCGAGACTTATCAGCACGATCCAAATTCTCTAAGGCATTTTGGTCCCCGCTTGCGCATACTCCCAGAAGCGTTAAATCATCAATCAGCTAGACAGAAAATTTTCAAATATACTTATCAAAATTCCAATTACATTCTCATAAAAATTGATATTTTTAAGACATATGCCCCGAATAACTTATGCATATAGAACCTGATTCCATAGTTGATTCACTGTAATCAACATGTCATCATAAGAACCTTGCTTGTCTTCTAAATCTTTTATCTTTGCCTCGAGATCATGCAATTCTTGCTTCTGCTTGTCTATCTCCTGAAGAAGTTTCTGGTTCTGGTACTGAAGAACTCCAGCGTCAATCTAGACACAAACAAACAAAACTTTTTCACACTGCATTGGTTAAGAAGGAAAAAAGAAACGACGAAACAAGAATATACGAGGTATAGACAATATGAATGTGATAAAGGAAGTTGTTTTTCCTTAACTTTTCTTCTTTGTTTCTTAACTTTGCTTCATTTTCTTTGATCAAAAAATGGTGAGAATTGAATGACTGTTTTACGAACTAACTAAAATATCATTTGGTTTGAAAATGAAAACACATAGCCCCCATTTGTTTCATTGGTTTAGCTCAATTCAATAAAGTTCGACAGTAAGCACATTTTAAATTCGCGTCTGGTAAGCACGCAAGTTCAAATTATATTCCCTGTTTGAACTGAGTTAAATTGTCCAACTTAGAGTTTAGCTCCCCCCTTAAGTTCAATCGTTCAAACCATTTTTGAACAGTAAAAAGATGCCCAATCTTTTTGCTTTTCACACCTACTAGACAAAATTCGAATTTTATTCCCTGTTTAGATTAAAATTTTAATTGCACATCCAAACACCAATTCGAACTATAATTTAAACCACACAGATTGACTTTTTCTGTTCAAACTAAAAGGTTCAAATCAACAAAATTCGTTTCAGCGAACCAAACGGGGGCATAGTTATTTTGACTCTCCATGAAGTCGTCACAAGTTTTCTATCCAAAAAACTCTCCAGTTCTAATGGTTACAATAGTGGGACCTATTGGATCCTTTTATCCATTAACTTTCCTCTTCCATTCTCTTTTCACTCCTTCCATCAGCCCAGACCCACTATTCCCTTTCACCTCAAAAATCCCTCCACTCTTTTCTTTCCATCCACTTTTCTCCTCCATCAAACATAGTGTAAGATAAAATCCTTTTACTATCTTGCACTGAATTTGGTATGCTTTGAGATGCACACAAACATCTTAGATGTATGCATCACAAGAAGTGCAAATTTCTATTAAGAAAATCGATACATAAACTTCCTCTTGAGAGAGACCAGGCTCGGCTCAAGTGAAATCAAATTCATAGTAGTTGAAAATTTGAGTATTGAGAATTCCACTCTAGTGGAAATTGTGCTCATTTCGTTTTATAAAGTAGTGAACTCCTTCTTGAATTAAACTTAAAAGTCATTTCTTATTGATTTTCTGACCACACACTACACATACATCTAAGGCATCTAGAAATCAAAACATCTTTTCACTAATTTTCCTGACATGTTCATTCTTTCCGCTGCAAAAGCAACGCTAGAAATATTGCTTTTGATCTAAAGTAGCCTTCCATAGAATTTCTTTTTGTTTTAGTTTTTTTTTTTTTTTTTTTTTTTGAAACTTCATTTCTGCTGTTCGAATTCAATCACATATTTCTGCATTCTACATCTATAGGAACTCAATTAGGTTGACATAGTAAGTTGATTTCTTCACATTTCAACACCCAGAAACCAGCTTTAGACTCAGTTTATTGTACATCAGTTCTTGCCCTTGATTGAAGAGTTCATGGCTTGTGCAACTACCTCAAATTCTTTCAAAACATACTAGTGGACTAGATTGTAAACTTATATTCCAGGGTTTCCCACGAAAGAGGAAAAAAGAAATGTCAATTTACTCTTATGCATTCTATTCTGGATTACTGACAATGAGACTGACTATAGTATGGAGTGAAATTGAAACCCTAATTTAATGGATGGTAAAATCTAAAACTTTGAAAAAAAAAAAAAAAAAAAAAAAAACTATTCACCTGTTGCTAGGTTGTTTTACATGGGATTAAAAATGGTATTTGAACAACTAAAAACAAGGAAATGAATACTAACTTGCAAAACCATCTTCAGTGACTAAGTAAGCAACACAAATTATTCAAAAAAAAAAAAACAATGTTCAAATATATGCCTATTCTCCAAAAAAAAAAAAAAAAAAAAAAAAGTAGTTCATATCTCTGCTCTTTTCTGCATATTCCATTCATTTATGAATGTCCTTGTATTAGAAAAGAAGTTATGGCAAAAAAAAATGATTCACTGTAATCAGATTATAATAGTGAATGAGTTTGAAGAAAGAAACTCCAGTGATAGGGATTGATGAAAAAGCATTCATTACCTGGAGAGGTTGATGATTCTCTGAGAAAATCTCTTTCAAATTATTATTAATGTTATTCTCCATCTGGGTCCCTCGGAATTTGATCAGAAATTGGGTTTCTGAGGGAGAATATGCTGGAACTCCGACGCAATGTTAATCGTGCTTGCGCTTGGAAATGGTAATATATGCACCAGAGTTCCTTTTCTCTTTTTTTTAATAAATATAAATATAAATAAATAAAAATAGTAATATGAGTTATGAGAAATTACATAAATATTGTATCCGGGCTATTTTGCACATTTGCCTCTTAATTTTTCGATTTTTTTATCAATCGTCCTCTGAACTTATCATTTTTATAATTTCCCCTCGATTGGTTAAATACTTAAATTGATGCGATTTTCCCTCTTTTGCTGATTGTTGTATATTAATGACCAAAACGCATCAAAAACTCCAACATCTCAATTATTTAAACAGTAACAAAAATATTTCAATCCCTTAATTCTGAGTAAAAAGCAAAACAAAATTGACAAAGTAGGTTACATTGCAATAGTTTAGCAATTTAGAAGGTTAAATTGTCAAATAAAAAATTTAGAAGATAAATTGCCAAAGCCCGACGTAGGGGGCAAATTTGATATTCAGGTATCTGCAAATATCTTTTTAGAACTTGAATTTCATTCATACCTTTTTATTATTGTTTTCATTACTCCAAAATTACTTCAAAGGGGTTAACAAGATGGAAAATTCTTTACTAAGAGCGTATCAGTAAGTTAGGTTTTTTAATTGTTGAATTTGTGTATTTTTTATTTTTATTTGTTTTTATGCATATCTGACGGATAAAAAACTTAACCTACCAGTATGTTGACATATTAAAGAAGATCCCTAATAAAATATCAGTTATCCTTGTTGCCTAAAGCTCAAAAAAAAAAAAGGAAAAAAAAACGAGATGCTATCAAAATCTTTTCTTAAATAATTTTGGAGCGATGAAGAAAGATGATCAAAGTGCATAAACAACATTTTAAGTTCTAAAAAATGTGTACAGCATAGCTGGATTACATTTTTTAAAAAAGTTTGATCAGATACCTATTTGGAAAGGTTACAACCTCATGAGGTAAACAAGTATGGACTTAATTATGTTATCATTTTTTAAGTTCAAACTAGTATTTTAATTATTAATTTGACCCATAAAAAGTTGGATGCTATAAAAAAAGCAGGCGGGTTTGAATAAGACATTCAACACTTTTTCCCTCTAAAGGAAAATTTGTCATCAAAATAATAAAGTAATCAAAGTTATCTCAGTATAAAAAAGAAGCTAAAATGTATTTATGATTTTTACACATAAATAAATGTTAACTCATTTAAATTACGGCATTGGTCGCACAAATATTTGTTAAACCAGCAAAGTTTATTTAACACTATCTACTACCATACTCATTAGTTAATAAATATATGGAACTCTCTCTGATAGTATCTTAAAAAATGACTATCAATAATTTTTTACTTTTTAGTCGTTAAATTTGTATGAGCATCTGGGTATTTTACATATTTTTTTAATCTAATATGATTTTGATCAAATCAAACGGTCAAAAATAAGACGGAATATCAGAAAAATTCTCTAAATATATAGAGAAAATGTTAACGTGACTTCCCTCAGAAAAAACAAAAGAAAAAAAAAAAGAAAATGTTTACATGGCCTGATTTCATGTCCAAATATTTGTTAAAAAGTGTTCAAGATGGAGGAAACTGAGAAGGAAACCAAAAGATATATATAGAACAGGTAAAGCACGTTTTGAATAATTTCTTTAGCGAGCAACAAAAGATTTGCGTAAATTGGTTTGAATGGTGCATATGAATTTATTTAATTTCTAATAGGTTTAAAAAGATAGATTACGTATAATTTTTTATTTTCAACCTCCAAATTTAATTAAAATTAAGTCAGAAAAATAAATAATAATTGATGATTCATCTTTTATAATTAAGTAAATTGTATCGTTACACATCAAATTATTTGTTTGTTTTGTATAATGCACTTTAAACGTTTAATTTTAACAAATTGCACCATAAATTTTTAAATCAGTTATAATTAAAATTCAATAGCAAATGATGTAATATAATTGACAGTTCATAACAATAAATCAGCTATTAAATTTTAATTACAATTGATTTTAAGATTTATAATACAGTTTATCAAAATTAAAGTTCAGAATACAACATATAAAAATAAATAGTTTAGAGTGTAATAGTATAATTTAGTAATTTACTCTCTATAATTTATAGACCTGGCCCTGTTCATTTCGCTGATTCGAGTTTTACTACAGTAAAAAGTTCTCACAAACAGTCACATCTAACTTTTTTGCTACAGTAAAAAGCTCTCACATAAAATCACATCTCAACTCAAATTAAAAACTTGAATCAACGAACTAAACGACCCTTAATATATTGGAATGGAAGATTGATCTAGTGCATACGCTAGTATAGCGCACAGCTAGGCAACACTAGTACTGCGTAAATTGTTGTGATTTAGGTTACCTAATTCATGTGATTGATCAAATAGCTTTGCGTTTGTCTTTCAACTAGATCAAGAATCATACCCAAATGACAAAACTGGGAAAATTGTGGTTGTTTCATGACTTCAAATTCAAGTACACCTAGAGCTGTCAATTTAAATCGGATCTAACAGTCTGAAGCTAATCTTTTGCCTAGTCTGGCCCGTATAAAAACTTAGGGGTTGTTTAGTTGGGAGATTCGTACCCCGATTTGAATCATAGTTCATGGTTCGCTATAGTATTTTTTCTCACAAAAAATACACGTAAATTAAAAATAATTTTAATATCATGATTATAATCTATGAACTAAATATCTCCTAAGACTGAGTTAGGCCGGATAGAAGATCTAGCTACGAAAGTTTATTGTCTTTATTTGATCTTAATCTTAACTATAATAAAAAAACAGCAATGGCTTATACTGTTCACCCTTGGTAGTCTAATCCGTACCGCACGAGTGCTTGTCCCTTTTTTTTTCCAACTACTTTTTTCTTTTAACTTTTGTGTCCCTTTCTTTTTTAACTTTATATTTATCTGTCATTATCTTGTATAAGTGTACTTTACCTTTTAATCTTTCATTTTTTTGGGTGCTTTAAGTTTTTTTTTTCTTTTCTTTCTTTTTAGCTCCTTTCTTTTTTTTTTTTTTTTTTTTTTTTACCATAGTCTTTTACTCCCAATATTCTCATTTCTTTTTCCTTTTCGTGCCTATTTCATTTTCATTCAATTTCAACTTTATTAGTATATGTGATAAATTTTTAAATCTCCAGTCTCAACTTTCTGGCCGAAGTAATCTCCTTGCTTGTCATCAATTGTGACATCTATTACCGATAGTTTCTTTTATTCATTTTCATGGTCAAATTTGTGTGTGTGTGTGTGTGACTGTGTGTTTTGAACAAAAAAATAATGAATGAATGGCATGCGAAGCGTTTTTGAACAAACTGTCTAGTTTTAGACAATATCTAACATAATAATGAATTGACATGCGAAGGGTTTTTTTTGAACAAAAAAATTAAAAATGAAAAAAAATATTCAAAATAAAAAAATTAAATCGCACCCCAGTCAAAATACTTTTTCCATTTTAAAATATATTTTTAGAACTATTTGTTTCTTTTACCATCTTATCCACATAATATGTTATACTCGTGCTATATTTTGTTTAAAGATAGTCAATTTCTTGACTGAAAAATCAAATCTGTATATGTCCTAGAGACTATACATATCTAAATGGTAAAACCTCTCAAAGTGAATGCTAACGGTCATAATAAAACAAATGTATACCTTCAAAGACTATTTGTGTAAATAACCTTTTTTTCTTTTTAAATATCCAAATAAAATTGTTCTCCTATTTGTTCTTTTTATTCATATTTTATGTTTGAAAAACTTCAATTATAATTTAATATGTGCACCGCACATACCTCAATTAATTTTTAAAAAGTTCTTTCTAAAGTTCCATGCCGGCTTCAACCCATAGGCCTTTTCATGCCAGCTTGAACGGGGCTAAACTATATCTCACTCGGGGCCACCCGATTTTGCCAGGCGGCCCAAATTTACAACTCTAAGTATATATCAAAAGCCAAAGTGTGAGTGGTAATGTGACAAAAATAACATAAGATATGCATATGCATAAATATACAGTACACAAACACACTCACACATATCCCCTTCTTTATTTTAATATTATTACTTTTGTTTTTGCTTGTTAGTTGAATCAATTGATTGTATTTCCTATCCAATGTATCAAAATCATAGCAGAGAGCAGCCTCAATAAAATACGTATTCAAGATAGATCAAAATATTTGTTCAATTGGCAATGTAGCCGCCGTTAAAGTCGGTTTCCCCATGAATTTTTTAGCGCTGTCTAGTGGAGGCTCGCCAAACCCAAAAAGTCGCTATTTTATAAGTATTTTATTAACAAAGGTTCTTTCAGATCAAGCAAATTGTATTAGCTAAATGCTACTTTGATCGCATTATAACAATTGCAATAGTTTATTAACAAGTTGAACTAATTTATGTCCATTATTATGGCGGCTTTGGAACGTAGATTAAACAATGTAATGCCTATCCAATAACAAAGGATAATTAATTCCACAAACCATGTCACTATAAATTCCCCCCTTTAGGCATAGCTCATATTGCAAAACTTGATCATACCATAAAGAGAAAATCTAAACATGGCTTTGTCTAGAATTTCACTGGCACTCATAATGTGCATCTTAGGTTTGGGGGTAACCGAGTCGTGTTGTGCCCAAAACACCCCTCAAGACTTCCTTACCCCCCATAATCGAGCTCGTGCTGAGGTAGGGGTCGGGCCTATGACATGGGATGACTCTGTGGCGGCTTACGCGCAACGCTATGCGAACCAACGCCGAGGCGATTGTAAACTCATTCACTCTAGTGGACCTTATGGGGAGAATCTTGCATGGAGTAGCGGTGACCTATCCGCTGCCGGTGCCGTCAAAATGTGGGTGGCGGAGAAGTCACTATATGATCACAACTCCAATAAATGTGTTGGTAAAAACCCTATGGGGTGCTTGCACTATACTCAGGTGGTGTGGCGCGACTCCACGCGCTTGGGCTGTGCTAAGGTGCGGTGCAACTCTGGGGGTAGTTTCGTCATTTGCAACTATAATCCCCCAGGAAACTATATTGGGCAGTGGCCTTACCAAAAGCTAGCTGCAAGCATCTGATCTATTACTAGCCACAACTATTCATCGGTTACGTACAATTTTCTTTTTGAGTATGTGTTGTGTGTGTATTTTAACTTGATTGTGAAGTGGGCATGTGTGTTTCAGCAAGGAAATGTATCTTTCTATGAATAAATGATTAATTAATTAGTAATAATACAGATGCTTCATCTTAATTACCTACACTAAATTATGTGCGTGTATATGTATTATTTTTTGTTGGTTTCCGAAACGAATACGGGGAAAAATTGCAGAAGCGCATAATATATGTGCTTCATCTTGTTTTGTCACCAGTTTTTGATATGATTTGCTGGAAACTAAGGTATGGTTGTTATACATAGATCATATTGAAGTGGCATAATTACTTTCATAAGTAGCTAGCTAAGAAAGAAATCTTTTGATAATTAGCTTAACAACAAAATTAACTTAAAATAACAATGACTTTTTGTGTGGGTCTTTAACTCTGTTCCTTTTTTTTTTTTTTAATTATTTTTTCGCTCTTTTTAATCTCAACTGTGGCATCTTCTTTCCCATCAGAGGAGATTTGGAGATCTGGGAACTTTTGCCTTTTTCTATTCATCTATTTTCTAGTTTCAATCTTTTTTAATTAATATGATTATAGCTAGAATCTAGATACATATCTATTTTAACTGTTTATTATGACTAAAGCTATATATCCACTGAGTTTTTCGTCTACTCGAGATGATTTTCACTTAAGTTATGTCCTTTTATATGTTTTGTGTGGTTCTTATCAACATTTGTAGCCTCAGAGCTCTACTATTAGAATTTTTTTGGGAAAGTGAAAATCTATATCACGTATTAGTAAGCAAAATTACGTATCAGTAACAAAAATAAAAAATTACGTCACCATATAACGACTTGAATCCTTAAAACGACAATGACTTACATCAAGAATCACCAATAAAAAACGACAATACGCTAGTAAAAAACCTTAGAAATGACAGTTGCCTGAGAAAATTCAAGGATTTGAAAAATGATAATAGTTGTAGGTTAGTCAAGGGTAAATCTGCATTGACTTTCTCAGTAGAATTTGAATCCACCGACTTGCAACTGTGACAACGATCTGCAGGAAAATGAATACAACGTACAAATATCATAAAACGACAATCACTACAACACGAATTAAAAACGACGATAGATGGACAAAACGACAACAAATAAGAAAAATGGCGACGATTGAAAAAACGACATCAATATAGAAACAACAATGTGTGTAGTTTATCTCAAAATCTAACCATACATAAAAGATCCAATACTCTTTTTTCAGGAACTGCCATGTATTAAATAGAGTCAAAGCTTTTTTTAACATGGCAATTCCTCCCCTTAGTTTTTTTTTATAACCTTTTTATCTTTATTATTATTTTTTATTTTTTTACATTTTAATTTTTCTATAAGTTTTCTTTTTTCAAAAATATGTTGTTCCACATTTTACTTCTACGAAAGTTATTTTTTAGCATGTGTTTTTATTTTATTTTTGGTTGGTTAAAATAATTTTCTTCAAATATGTTCCTATTTAATTTTTTTCATTAATTGTTATTCCTTAAATAGTTGTATAAATGAATTTCTCATTACTCGATTAATAATAAACTCTTCAAGTATCTCAAATACGGCAGTACGTGTGGAATACGTTACAAAACTAATAAATTTTTAAAAAAAATAAAAAACAAGGTGGAAGAAGAAAGGAAAAGGGATGAAAATGGCTCGATGACTGCTACTGACCTAAATGCCTTTTGTAAAATGATGTTACATTTCTGTTTGAGGTAGATTTGCCCCCCAAAACCGACATGCTTAATTAATTTAGCGTGTTTATTTTTTATTTTTTGAGTGTTGATCTGTTCTTTGTTGAAATATTTGTATTGTCATAATTTGATCCATAATTTATTTTGCATATCGTAAATTTATTTTTTTAGCAGTTTTAGTCCTTATCTTTAAAATTAATAATTAATATTACATGACAACAATTAGTAGAGAAAATGGATATACTACTAAAATATGTCATTATTATTCCATAAGTTTCAAAAACTTACATGATCAATTTTTATATTAAGGACTAAAGTTGCTAAAGAAACTAAATTGATTATTTTACGAAAAAATAAGGAACGAAATAATTATCATATTAAACATCAAAGACTATTTTTTTTTTTTAAATTAGTAATATATTACAAAGCATGAAGAGGCATTACAAACACCAATCCATATATATATGGCCCCCTTACTATAAAAAACATGGCACCAACATGTAACTGGTTCGATCAGTAACTTGAATCAAACTCAAGGAACAATATTTTGTACCAAACCCCACTAATAGAAATCACCCAAAAAGGTATACTGAAATTTGAGCACACATACAATTCTTTCACAAATATTCTACCGTCGATGGAAAAAAAAAAAAAAAAAAAAAAAAAAAAAAAAACTGATAAGCCGATATTTTGGAGAAATCTATAGCACGAGTGCTACACAAAAACCCTAAAGAAATAAATCTCGTGGATGAAACAAACAACCAAACACTAAACAAATAAGACAATAACTTAAACTAATCATAGTAAGAATCACTGTTATTATATATGAAAAATGAGAAAATCAACAAGCGAGAACATCAAAACATCAAGAAGAGTAAAGCCGCTCAACACCAACGAAACAAAACGCCAAAAAAGGCGAGTGGTTGTTTAACATATACAGGCGGATAGTGACAAAAGACGACATGTGCACTACAAGACGACTCGGCTCTTCTCCCAAACCAAAACCTACATAGGATAAGTTGAGATGAACACCAAGGCATCCAAAAATGGCTCAAGATCAATGACAACCCTTCCTTAGCGAGTAGCATGAAGCTCTATCCTAAACTCAGTATCTAATGACGAGCTTCGGAGCTTGTAGATAAAATTTGACGGCCAGAGACTCAGTAATGCATCGAACCTCTGGCCTTGAAAGTTCCTCTTTCTTCTCTCTCTTTCTTCTTGTTAGGGCCAACTGAATTACGTCTTAAACATAAGAGACTAATAAAGTAAAAAATCTATCCATTAAATTGTGTAGTCTAATTATTGTATGGTTATTATAAAAGAAGTTAAAAAAATAGAGAGTTATTGAGAGAGACATGAGGTATGATTTATCTTGTAATGTATTATTAAATAATAATATTTTAGAAATAAAGACAATTATTTAAAGTGAATTGATTAAAACAAGGGAAATAAGTAAAATAATTATGGCAGTTTTGACTCAACAATTAATGCATAGCACATTAGAAAAGAAGAATACAAATATAAAAAATTGACATAGACAAAGTGTCTAAATATTACATTTTAAAACAGGTGTATCACATAAATAAAATAAAGTAATACACCCTATGAATAATTTCTTATTTCTTTCGTCCTTAATTGTCCCCATCCCATCCATAGCCATCGACATGTTTACTACTGTCTAGTGGAGGCGGCTAAACCCAAAAAGTAACTACTTAAAGAGATATTTTATGAATAAAAGATTCTTTAAGATCAAGCAACCACTTTTATGGCGGCTTTGAAAGGTAGATTAAAAGATGTAATGCTTATCCAATAACAAAGGATAATTAACTCGACAAACCATGTCACTATAAATATTCCCCTTAGGTATAGCTCACTCACATTGCATAATTTGATCAATACAAACAGAAAACAAAAACATGGGTTTGTCTAGAATTTCACTAGCGCTCGTAATTTGCATTCTAGGCTTGGGGGTAATCGAGTTGTGTTATGCCCAAACCACCCCTCAAGACTTCCTTGCCCCCCACAATCGGGCTCGTGCTGAGGTGGGCGTCGGGCCTATGACGTGGGATGACTCCGTGGCGGCTTACGCGCGAAACTATGCAAACCAACGCCAAGGCGACTGCAAGCTCGTTCACTCTGGTGGGCCATATGGGGAGAATATTGCTTGGAGCAGCGGCGACCTATCGGCCGCCGGTGCCGTCGGAATGTGGGTGGCGGAGAAGTCACTATATGATTACTACTCCAACAAGTGTGTTGGTCAAAACCCTATGGGGTGCTTGCACTATACTCAGGTGGTGTGGCGTAAATCCACGCGCTTGGGCTGTGCTAAGGTCCGGTGTAACTCTGGGGGTAGCTTCGTCATTTGCAACTATAATCCTCCGGGAAACTACATTGGACAGAGGCCTTACCAAGAGCTAGCTATAAGCATCTGATATAATATTAGCCGCAATTATTCATGATCAGTTACGTACGTACTATTTTCCTATTGAGTTTTTGAGAATATGTGTGTGTGTATTTTAATTAACTTGATCGTGAAGTGGGCATGCGTGTGTGTTTCAGCAAGGAAATGTATCTTCCTATAAATAAATGGTTAATTAGTAATAATAAAGATGCTTCATCTTAATTTTATATGATATATATATATGTGCATATCTTTATACGTGTTTATATATGTGCATATATTTATACGTATTTATATATGTGCTTCATCTTGTTTTGTTTCGTTGCTTGATATAATTAGTTGGAACTACTAAGTGATGGTTATAAGTTATTATGGATCAAGTGACATAAACTTTCAAAAGTAGCAAGCTAAGAAATATTTTCTTTTAATAATTAACTAACAATAAAGTTAACTAATCAAAAAAAGAATTCTGACTTTTTGTGTTGGTCTTTGACGCACTCCGGCCCTTTCTTCAATTATTTTTCTCCCTCTTTTTAATCTCAACTATCAGATGAGTCTCAAATCCTCTCTTTAATCTCAACTATCATATGAGATTTGGAGATTTGGGATTTTTCCATCATCTTGTTTTGTTTCGTTGCTCGATTTCACTCTTTTCATTAAGATTAAAACTATGTGTCCATGTTAATAAATGTAGTGGTCCAATTGAGTTTTATCTGCTAGAAGGAGACATCAAGAACAGTGCAATTTGTGGATGAGTAAAAGCTAAGCATATGGTGACCAGTGTCTCCCAGTCCCAGCTGAGGATAATCAACGCCCTTTGCCAGCTGCCACAACCCACAACCACTATAATTTGTATTGAAATGGGCCATGTTTGTTTGAACATATTATCCTTTTAAAATATTATAAACCTCGTTCGTTTCACTAGTCCGAATCACAATTCATTCTCAACTCGAATAAAAAAAAATGAATGAAGCTATATAATCATACTAGTAGACCGTGAATGCTATTTATGATAAGTAATTATCAATCTTGATCAAAATCTTGTTGTTTTATGTCATTGTTTTAAAAGGTAAAGTTGATAAATTGGTTCTTGGGTCTCATTTTCTCAGAGTTTGTCATTGAGGAATATGATTATGCTTTTTTCAGATTCAATAGATTATGCTTTGTGAACCCATAAAGTGAAAAAAAAAAAAATCTAGAGATATAGTAATTAGCCGTTGAAGCCAAAGTACGGATTCCAAATTCTGATATCAATTGGTAATAAACACGCAACTACAATCTGTTTTCTTGTCTATTCAATATATATATCTCACTTTTTCTATAATGTTAATGTGCATGAGAGATCATGCTGAGAATTTTATCCCATGCTTCTTCAAAGTAAATTTCCACTGCTAGGTTGACATTGAATTTAACTTTACAATTTAGACTAATCTCCTACACCTTTTTCTGAATTAGGACATGCAATTAATTAGTTATCATATATCTCACTTTTTCTATAATGTGCATGAGAGATCATGCTGAGAATTTTATCCCATGCTTCAAAGTAAATTTCCACTGCTAGGTTGACATTGAATTTAACTTTACAATTTAGGCTAATCTCCTACACCTTTTTCTGAATTAGGACATGCAATTAATTAGTTATTTATAAGAAAATTAAAGCTTTTTTTAGTACATAATTAAAGCTAAATCTATATATTTATTTATTTATTTATTGTGATACTGTATATTCTTCTTTTAGAATAAATGACATGTTTAGTTCATGCGTTTAAATCAGTAATTCTTAATTTTGACATTTGAAATTTAAATTTTTTGTGAGATAAAAATATTGTAGTAGAATTAAAATAATGAGTTTAAACACCGCAAACAAACGAGCCTAAAATGTCTTGCAACTTTTTTTTGGGGAGTTAATTGTTTTCCAGTAAAATCGAAAGATTAAAATTCATTATCGTATGCACCAACTCTGGAGTTTTCACGGTTACTGCAGCAAGCGTTCTTCCATTTCTTTTCGCCAATTGAAAATTAGGTCAACGTCAAAGCTGTTGAATGAATTTCTTGGCGTGCCCTAATTTAGAAGGCATAAAAGCACACATCATGATGGTGAATATTGTAGTTGGCGGCAGTTAATCCATTCAATTAATAATAGTGAGACCAACCGAATTTTGAATTATTGCCATCTTTTCAAGCCAGTTGTTTCTTTTCCATTTTCATTTTTAGGGATTAATTTATACATATTTCATTCTTGCTTCCCTTATTTGGATTGGGGCGCCCGTTCAATCTTATTCTGTTTTGAAGCTATGGTATCATCGGTGATCTTCTTCGTGTGATTTCAAATCTCGTTTTTCGTTTTAGTTTTTATTTTATTTGTATAAAAGGCCACTTTATTTCTATCATTTTAACCAAAGAGTGTTTATAATTGAATAATAAATGGAGCACAATTAAAATATTATTGAAAGTTCTATGATATTGAAATCGGATAAGGGAGAAGTAAGAAATTGGAAGAGTGATTTTTGAAAAACAAACGGATTCAAGGGTTGTTTGATAAAGGAAAAATTAAGAAGCAAAGAATTTGTAACTTCATGGGGTTCATAATATTTTAATCCTTACAACTTTAGGCGAAAAAAAAAAAGGAGAAAAAATATTTAGTAGAACAATTAAACAACAATTTCGACCCTTATCACACCTTATGATCTTTTGTTATATATAAGGGTCTTATTAATAAATAAACTAAGTTTATTTCCATTTTTATTTCACTTCTACCAAATCATATGAAACAAAACTCTCACCCCTTTTTTTTTTTTTTTTTTTTTTTTATCTTGGTACCCCCTTCTTCCTCTTGTTTTTATTTTCTTTTTTATTTTTCATTTTGCATCTCTCTTAGAAAACTAGGCAAAAGAGACAAAACATGATTAGAATAGAAGTAAATAGTGCCTACATTAGATTAGCAAAATAGTGCCTACATTAAATATTGGTAACAAATAGAAGCAACCGAATCCTAATGGAAAATATCAAGTTTCAATCCGAATGGTTAACATGGTTGATAATCCAACATTAGTAAAACTAAATATTATAATAACACTCTTATTTTAGTAAATCTGTGTCACAAATATACACACATTAAGAAAAATAGAAGAGTTGAATCCTAATACCTTTTAGGCATGGTGTATGTAAAATAAAATGGGGTCATTAGTATCGGTAGTCCATGAATTATTACTATTTTGTCACTTTAGAACCTAAATTTTTAATTTCAATAAATTAATTTATAAATTTTTGTTTTTTTTTCTTTTTTTACCGTTTTAGTCTCTGGCACTAAAATTAACGAATGACTTAACAATAATCACATCCCAGTTGCATAGTCACCAAAAGTTTTACAGAAAAAAATTATATTAAATGTAAAATACTCTCTTTATTATTGTTAAAAACATTTAAAGACTAGAATGTCTTGCATCTGATGTAATTACTTTTGTAAAAATTTCAATTACTATATAATTGGGACGCGATTATCTCTGAGAAGTTTCAAAGGGCAATCATCCCAATTTCAGCATCAAGGACTAAGACAAGTTAAAACATCAAAGTTCAGTGACTAAATTGCTAAAATTGAAATTTTAGTAATTAAAAGTGATCCAAAACTCATAATTCAGGAATTAACAGTATTAATAACCCAATAAAAGAAAAGGTTTGGAAAAACTTTGTGTAGTGTCCCGTTTGAGTTGGCAATGTGGTTGTATTACCTGCCGGCAATCTATCTATTCTACACACTGGAATGATGAAAATGCAAAGTCCCGATGATGGGGGGATCTTTTTCTGTCTTTGTTCCTCCTTTTTAAGTCTGAGAAGTCCCAATTATAGGGTTTTTTTCTTCTTTTTTTTTTTTCCTGCTGGAAAGTCCCCATTTTAGTTAAAACATACCATTCAGGTCCTTTAATGGACCTATACTAACTATTTATCCATAGTGAATTATCATTATTGATTTTAACTAATTGAAATATTATCATGTAAACCTACATAGAACAGGTGATTACAGCAGTGATGATCACCAATATTGATAAATGTAATTGCTGTTCTTCAAAATCAAATATGTAGCAAAGAAAGAAAAAAAAAATAGCATTGCAGTTTATTGGAAATATGAGCATTGTCACTTTCGTCTTCAAATTTTTTCCTTCACGAATTATTTCTTAAACTTTGATTTTTTTTTTTTGTGATAGTTTTAGCTAATGAAAAATATACAGAATTTAACACAGATAATCACCTATCAATCACATAGCAATTGAAAGTTGTACATAAATTGTTATATTAAGTCAAAAATGTTCTCCTTGTTATTGTCAAAAACCCATACAAATTAAAATATTTTGCATTAGTATAACTGTATATGTAAATCTTCAATTTACCATACGACAAAGATGTGATTATCTTTGTTTATAAGTTTCAAAAGTCTTTAACCAATTTTAATGTCTTGATAAATTTTTTAAAAAAAAATCTAAAGTTCAGGGAGTGATATGTCAAGAAAAAAATTTGGGATTAACACGCATAATTTATGGACTAAATATCCTACCTTAAATTACATTATTTATCTTGTTTTAAGTTTTTATTTTGATGTAATGAAAGTGATGTTGATTCTGCCGTTTTAGCGTTTATGTTTTTGTTATGTAATAATGAAAGTTGTTACCTCACCCTTTTATCGTGGTAGTAGGTCTAACCTATTAAGTTTGATTTTATACAATCTTGTGAGTGACTTAGTGCTCCGACTCTTTTGATCTCGGCCAGTTAGTTTTATTTATCGACTGTAATAGTTTTGTGAAATAAGCTTTTGTCACGCTCGATCATTAATGTGTCAGGGGGTCTTTCCCCATTAAGCTTCAGTACTTGTATTCACTTTTACGTCTCATTCGTCTTTATTAGTAGATATAATATTTTTCCGTGGTCGAATACCCTTATATTTCGATGTTGATTCTGTCGTTTCAGCGTTTATGTTTTTGTTATGTAATAATGAAAGTTGTTACCTCACCCTTTTATCGTGGTAGTAGGTCTAGCCTATTAAGTTTGATTTTATACAATCTTGTGAGTGACTTAGTGCTCCGAGTCTTTTGATCTCGGCCAGTTAGTTTTATTTATCGACTGTAATAGTTTTGTGAAATAAGCTTTTGTCACGTTTGATCATTAATGTGTCGGGGGTCTTTCCCCATTAAGCTTCAGTACTTATATTCACTTTTACGTCTCATTCATCTTTATTAGTAGATATAATATTTTTCCGTGGTCGAATACCCTTATATTTATTGGTCATTTACAACTATATTGGAGTCTATATTAACTTAATTATGTAACAAAGTTTTCCCATTAAAAAAAAAGTTAAAAGTCCTTTTCGTTGAACAATATCAATCTTTTTCTTAGCAAAAAGAAACAACAATCTTTTGATGGGCATCATTAATCTTACATTACCCAATTGAGTATCAAACAACAGACATTGAAAGGTTGAAGTCATTCACGGGTTAGAGGTTGTCCTTATTTTTTCCTTTTTCCTTCTTATGGCTTCTAAATTTGAAAGAGACGAGAATCCTACAATCTTCATTATTTTTCCTTTTTCCTTCTTTTGTCAAAACCCATATGACATGTTTCCATTGTTTTGTTAAAGAACCAAAATATTTGTTGTCAAATTAAAGTTCTATTGTACAATTTTCAATAACTATTTTTTTTTTATATAACTTTTCTAGGATAGTAATTAAATTGCTAATAATAGAAGCGCGAAAGGTTGAATATTCTGGTGGTTACAACGATCGGATTGGTGAGACAAATGCACTTGATGCTTTCCGGGCTATTCGATCTATCGTGCAACGAACTTCAGAAGTCACTATTCAGTGTGGTCGATGACATTCATGAAATTATTTCTCAAGTTGAAATTTTTGTTATATATAAATATAAATATATATATATATATGACACATTAACAACTACTTCTAAATTTATTGAAGGGCAATATCTTGATAAATGAATTATTTAGATCAAGATTAGAACTTACCTAATGTTTTTACACCTGCTGAAACTCATTTTAATATTACAAATACTTGAAATTTGTATGTATTCTATTATCTTTGATGTTTAATTTTTATGTACTATATTATATTACTGTAACTTGTTTGTAATGAGCATGTAAAATTATATTGGAATTATAATATATAATTATGATAATTTCTTATTATACTATGCAACATAAGTCTTATAGTTCAATTAAGAATGTATTTTTTGTCATTAAATTAGTCAAATTAAGTGATACTGATTGTTTTAGCATTTTGTATAGTTAAAACAAAAATTTTAGAGATGATAGAACGTTGGAGGTGATCAAGCAGGATATCAGATTCCAACGTTTCCAAAGTCATGGATCTACTGGTAGTTTTCTTTCTTTCTTTCTTTCTTTTTTATTTTTATTTTTTTGGGTTAGGGGTGGGATTATTTACAAGTTTATTTAGTTTGTCTATATTGATGAATTTAAATATTTTAACTTTTTGAAGAAATGAAGTGGATCTTTAATGTTCCTTTTTTTTAAGAGATGGTGGGAATGACACCAAAACTTTAGCGGAATATATTTTAGAGATTAAATTTGAGACATTAAAAGAGTTCAAGGTTAAATTAGTGCAATTTTCAGTACAATGACTAACTCTAGAGAGAGAAGAAAGTTTATAGACTCCCAACAAATTTGACTCTTAATTTTATTATTTGAAAATATTGATGGGATTTTAATAATGACCTATAAACAATGGGTCTATGTTCCAGGAAAAGAGAAAAAAAAAAAAAAAAAAAAAAAAAAAAAAAAACAATGGGTTTATGTAATTGTAATTTGTTTTGGCAAACTTATGGTCAAATAATTTTTCCATTTTTAACAGTTGGGTGGTGGATAGATGCACAAATTGTAAATGAATATAGCATTCAATAAGTAATATTGATGAACTATATCACACCATAAGTAATAACGTATGAAATATGTAATAAACGACGTATTTAGAATAGGTTTAAGGCATTGGTTTATGTAATTGTAATTTGTTTTGGCAAACTTATGGTCAAATAATTTTTCCATTTTTAACAGTTGGGTGGTGGATAGATGCACAAATTGTAAATGAATATAGCATTCAATAAGTAATATTGATGAACTATATCACACCATAAGTAATAACGTATGAAATATGTAATAAACGACGTATTTAGAATAGGTTTAAGGCATTGCAAAAAAAAAAAAAAAAAGTTACAATTTAGTATATAATTTTTTGGATAGCTTCTTTTTATCATTGTGCATTAAACATTTTATAGTGGAATGCTTTGGTTGGTTGTCATTGACCAATTAAGTTTATTTATCCTACTGATTTTCAAAACTAATTATTTAACCTGCCATTCATTTGGGTTTTTTTTTTTCAATTTTTTTAAAGCAACCGTAGATGTCCGGTTGCAAATTTTGCTGCCCTTTTCCCTACTTAAATGCCCTCAACATCTTTGACCGTAGGATTGTTTTTGTGTCATTAAAGCATGCTATGTCAGCGTAATCAGCAGTCAGGATCTCGTAGGGGAAATTTTCCACAAAATGGAAGTGGGGGCTTAAAAAATAAATAGATAAATAAATAAATTACACTGGAAACTGGAAAAAGAAATATTTTTGAGCCTGTTCTTTTGAGTGAAAAACTCAAAAAAATAGACCTTGAATTACAACTTTATTTGAGTTTATATTCTTTTAAGATTGAACTCGAGTTTAAACTTGAGTTTATGACTAAAACTCGAGTTCAAGTTTCCCCTTCAACTCGAGTTCAGAAACTCGAACTCAAATTAATGAACATTATTTTTTTTCTATGCATTGACAACGAAAAGACGAATAAAACCCCACCCATATACTCTATTAAAATTTTCCATCAGTATTGAGTTTTTATTAAAATACTATTTAAATACAAATTCAAGTTTTGACTCACTCAAACACAAACTCGAAAAGATTTTTATCTCAAATCATAACTCAAATGTACACAACTAAATACAAACTCAAGTTATAACTTCAACTAAAATTATAACTCAAATTCAACTAAAAAATTATACTCAAATTAAACTCGAAAAGAACGGGCCCTTTGTAATCATCCCTCCTGTGAACTATGTGAAGAGAAGAGAGGCTTGTTCTTTTGAGTGAAAAACTCAAAAAAATGTAACTCAAGTTATAACTTTATTCGAGTTTATGTTCTTTTAAGTTTAAACTCGAGTTCAAACTCGAGTTTAGGACTAAAACTCAAGTTCAAGTTTTCCCTTCAACTCGAGTTCAGAAACTCGAACTCAAATTAATGACAGTATTTTTTTTATTCTTAAAAATACTATAACTTTTTCGTTTTAATTCTGATTGAGATGATTTTTTTTTTATGCATTGACAACAAAATGACGAATAAAACTCGACCCATATACTCTATTAAAATTTTTTATCAACATTGAGTTTTTATTAAAATACTATCTAAATACAAATTCAAGTTTTAACTCACTCAAACACAAACTCAAAAAGATTCTTATCTCAAATCATAATTTAAATGTACACAATCAAATACAAACTCAAATTATAAGTTCAACTCAAGTTATAATTCAAATTCAACTCAAAAATTATACTCAAGTTAAACTCTAAAAAAATAAGCCTGTAGTTTTTTTTGTTGTGAACGGAGATGTGATGTTGTTAAGACAAGCTTTTCTGCATTTTCTAATTCGTACGACTCTAACATCACAATTCACAATCATGGTAAATTCCTTCAAGGCCAAGCATAGACTTGCAAATACCAAGCAAGGACAAAGCAAGGTACAATATTCAAGATAGAGAAGCTAATAAAGATAAGCACAACCCAGAAGAAAAGTAGGTATTTATTAATATTAACAACTCCACAACAGGAATCCATGCAAGCAAAAAAAAAAACACAAGGCTAGAAGCCTATGAATTCGAACATGCACATAATATTCCCCACCCCTCACCACTAGTATTCAAGTATTTAACTACGATGACTACAAGAAAAACAGGCATTTTTTTAGCTCTCCTTTGAACAAAATCAGAAACGGAATACTCAAGAGTCAGACATGAAAGTAGGAGACAATATAGGTATAGCAAATCCATTATGCAGAAGCAAACGGCTCCAAATTCTCTAAATACATTTCCTTACATCTCCTCAGTAGCTTCCTCCTCATCTTCGTAATCGAGCTCCTCATCGGCTGTAGCGTCCTGATACTGCTGATACTCTGAGACAAGGTCATTCATGTTGCTTTCTGCCTCGGTGAACTCCATTTCGTCCATGCCTTCGCCGGTGTACCAGTGCAAGAAAGCCTTCCTCCTGAACATCGCGGTGAACTGCTCGCTCACACGCCTGAACATCTCCTGAATAGAGGTGGAGTTTCCGATAAAGGTCGACGCCATAGAAAGCCCCCTTGGAGGAATGTCACAAACGCTTGACTTCACATTGTTTGGAATCCACTCAACGAAGTAAGAGGAATTCTTGTTCTGCACGTTGATCATTTGCTCATCAACTTCCTTGGTGCTCATTTTGCCCCTGAACATGGCTGATGCCGTGAGGTAGCGACCGTGGCGTGGGTCTGCAGCGCACATCATGTTCTTGGCATCCCACATTTGCTGAGTAAGTTCTGGGACTGTCAGCGCACGGTACTGTTGAGATCCGCGCGAGGTAAGAGGAGCGAATCCAACCATAAAGAAGTGAAGGCGCGGGAAGGGGATGAGATTCACTGCAAGTTTCCTGAGATCAGAGTTCAGCTGTCCAGGGAACCTAAGGCAGCAGGTAACTCCACTCATGGTTGCAGAAATCAAGTGATTCAGATCACCAACTGCCATAAAGACAAAGAAATCATGTTCGATCTAATAGTATCGTCTTTTTCCGAAATAAAAGAAACTGAAAAAGTGAACAATCAGTTGAAATAAATAAAAAACAAACAACCATTCAGTTTAAAATCCGCCATAAGACCAGAAGAATCCAAAGCATTCGGGAGCTTCACACGGAGAACAATATCCCCAGATGGACCATAGCCCAAGAAAAGGATCATATAACTTTAACTACTAGACAACTCCAAAAAAATGCAGCACGATAAGCTAAAACTTTCTTTTTCCAAAAGTGAAAGAGTTACAAAATACCATAATGAAAGGGAACACATGATACCGTAAAAAAGCAACATATAACATAGGAATTATATAAGCAAAGATGATGGGACACAGATTGAATAAACTTCAGGCTATCACTGATATTCCTCCACTTCAACTTCTTATTAAAAGAAAACTAAAAATTGTGGCTGTGGCTAAATATTGTGGCTGTGGAAAGAGCAAAATAAAACATGAAATGAGCAAAGATAAAACATGAAATAACAAGGTCAACTTAAAGTAGAAAGTGCATACATAACTAGAAGAATGCTACCTCGATAAGCAGGTCAGTTGTTGCATTATCATACTTGTTCGCATGAAAAAACCAAAATAAACTTCTAGATGTCAAGCTAACATTCCGAATCAATAGTAAAATGCGGTATACTTACAGCTAGGAGTAGTCAACTTGAGAGTCCTGAAGCAGATATCATATAAAGCCTCATTATCCAACACCATGCACTCATCTGCATTCTCAACAAGCTGGTGAACAGAAAGAGTGGCATTGTAGGGCTCAACAACTGTATCTGAAACCTTCGGTGATGGGAACACAGAGAACGTAAGCATCATCCGATCTGGATACTCTTCCCTGATCTTTGAGATCAACAAAGTCCCCATTCCAGAACCAGTACCTCCACCAAGAGAGTGGCACACTTGAAAACCTACACGAGACCCACAGAATATATAACGAATCCCACACCAAAGGCGTATGACAACATAGCAAATGGAAGATTTATACCTTGAAGACAGTCACAGTTCTCCGCCTCCTTCCGAACAACGTCAAGAACCGAATCAATAAGCTCTGCTCCCTCAGTGTAGTGACCCTTGGCCCAGTTGTTACCAGCACCAGATTGGCCAAACACGAAGTTATCAGGCCTGAAGATCTGGCCATAGGGACCGGTTCTAACGCTGTCCATGGTACCAGGCTCAAGGTCCATGAGCACAGCACGCGGAACAAATCGGCCGCATGAGGCCTCATTATAGTAGACATTGACACGCTCAAGTTGAAGATCAGAGTTTCCGGTGTATCTTCCGGTGGGATCAATTCCGTGTTCGTCACAGACGACTTCCCAGAACTTGGATCCAATCTGGTTTCCACATTGTCCACCCTGAACGTGAAGGATTTCTCTCATTTTCTCTCTGGAAACAAGAAGACAAGGCAGACAGGTGAGATTAGTTCCAGAATTCAATAATATTGCAGTCGCTATGATCGGCAGAAGGAAAAACATATTGATCAAAGAAAAAATGGGTGAAAAGTTGCAGTTTAGCAAGAATCAACAAAAATAATATTGAAGAATCAAAGGAAAGAAATTAACTGGAAAAATAAAAAACCAAAGCATTTTGGTGAGGAACCCTAAACACATCAGTAAAACATTATTTCTATAAATTTTCTTATGAAGCAAAATACATGACCATATCTAACATTCCATAAGAAAGGAAACAACTAATTCAAGTAAAACAGATGAAAACTACCGAAGGTGAATTCGATAAAAACATATTTTGAAAGATCAGAGGAAATAAAATCGTAACATTCTGGTTAGGAACACTAAGCACCGAAGAGAAACATCATTTCTCTAGACTTTCTCAGGAAACAAAGAGATAACCAGATCTAACATTCCGTAAAAAAGATATCAAACAATTCAAGTAAAAGAGATGAAAACTATAAAAGGTGAATTCGAAGACAAAAGATGTTTCAAAAGATCGGAGGAATTATATAAAAATCGCAACATTATGGCTAACACTAGGCACAGAAGATAAACATCATTTCATTAGATTTTCTCAGGAAACAACAAGAAAGTAAAGGAATCCACTCAAAATCAACTAAAACAAGGAACTATCAAAGACAACAAAAACTTTAGGAGGATCGAACAAGAAGTAAATTAACTTCATGAACACTCATTTCCTTCACGTTCTCAGCAAACAAACGAGTGAAATACAGATCCATCGAAGAATTCAGCACTCACCGGTTAATGTGAGGACGATCTAAGCGACGAGGAGGCTTGGAATTCCAGCGATACTTCCGACGAGCGAGCACGAACTGCGCTCGATCTTATCGAAGAATGAAGACAGGAAGAAAGTAGTGAGTGGAGAGAGTGAAAACCGGTGGGAGAGAAATCACATATATTTAAACTACGTGTAAGGGCAAGGCTGTGAGATCGTACGGTCAAGATTGTTTCCCTCCTTTTTCGCTTTCAGCCGTCGGATGGGAAGGTTTGTACGGCGTGGATTTAGTATCCGTAACGTGAAGAGGAGAGATTGCTGAGTTGCCTTTTTCAAATGTACAAAATCTGAAGCATTGGCGGGCCCGCTATTTTTAACATTTTTCTTTTTTAAAATGAAGCCGTGATTGAAGATGTCTAAAATACATGTTCTTTTTTTTGTAATTGCAAATTTACCCCTGTATTTATGGGGTGTTTCAAGTACACCAATGTTTTTGTATGTTCTTTTTTAAGCAATTTCCATAGTTTCAAAAATCATATATTTCTGTTTAGTTCGCTGATTTAAATTTTTAATTCGAGTTAAGATGTGATTTAATGTGAGAGTTTTTTACTGTAGTAAAAAAGCTAAATGTGACTGTTTCTGAGAGCTTTTTACTGTAAAACTCGAATTCTAAACTCGAATCAGCGAAATGAACGAGACCGGCATTCTTCGAGTGAAAATAATTATTAATACATGTATTCAAGAAAGATCTGATACAATTTGATTAAAACACATGATAATCAAGAGTTGTACAGCATTAATAAATGTTTGTTTTTTTCTTTTTTTTTCTTTTGAGAAAAATTAATAAGGTGTTTTTATACCTACTAAAAGCATTCTAAATTCTTCTTATACAAGTAATTTCATTTAACAAAATTTTACACCAACTGAATGTCATATATCCCTAAAAATAAAATTTTCAAAATATGTATAAAAAAAAACACTATACCTTGCGTTTCTATGTTTGCATTTTCTAACAAATACCTAAAATATTAACTTTATCATTCAAACTGTAAAATTTATTAAACAACACGTATTTTTGTTAACTATATCCTGAAAAAAAAAAGAATCAATGTAAAAATTAGCCGTCCTTAAAAATCTACCTATAAAACTTGGCACAACGATAGTCTGAAATATAAAACTCAAAGAAAACGCCCCCAAAATGATTTAACAAAAGTGGGTGCGTTTAGAGTTCATTATAAAATAATTTTATTTTTTGTATGAAAATGAAAATGCTTTCAATCTTAAACAGAAATCATTTTTGAAAATACGTTTGGTAGTTTTA